TCATACTATAAGAGTTAGAGGACTACACGTACATAATGTCAAATTAGAGATTTTGTTTTCATAGGTGCTGAATCAGTTTGTATCACTAACAATATTGAATGTCACTTCCTTTTCACCACACCTTTTCCAAAGCTATTTTTTTCTAGATTTTTTGACATAGGATATTCTTACTTGTAGGAGGTAATATTGCATAGTTATTTTAACGTAAACTTACTGATAATACATGAAAAAGAGTATTTTTTTATGTGTCTCTTTGCCATCTGTATGATTTTCTTGGTGGTTGAAGCGTCTATTCAGATTTTCTCTCACTTATTGACAGTGTTGTTAATTTTCTTGTTTTGGAGTTTTGTGAGTTCCTTATGTATTTTGAAAATTAGCCATTTGCTAATCGTGATCGTGATCGTAGTTGGTGAATGTTTTCTTCCATTATGTAAAATATCTGTTGAGAGTTTATTTCTCTGTATGGAAAACTTTTTAATTTGATTAAATAATGTGTATTTTTTTTAATTTTCTAAAAAAAATTTGTAGATAAAGATTAGTCTTAGAATCCAGTGTCCCTCATCTCCTTTTTTAATCAGGACTGTTTTTGACTATTCTGAGCGTTTTATGCTTCCATACAAATTTTAGAAGTAGTTTTCTATGTCCTTAAAAAATGCCCTGTGAATATTCATGGGAATTACTTTTCATCTGTAAAGTGTTTTATTTATGATAGTCATTTCAATAACGTCAATTCTTTTAGTGCTTGGACATGGGATATTTTTCTATTTTCTTTTAACTTTTATTCATAAGCGATTAATAGTCTTTTCAAAATAAGCCTTTAACTTCCTTTTTTTGAAATTAATTCCTAGCTATTTGAGAAATTTTTGACACAATTGTGAAGAGAAACAATTAAAAATGTCTCTTCTATGTTATTTTTAGCATATAAGAATACAACAAATCTCTGATCATGTAGTTTACTACCTTCTATACAAGTTTATTGTTTCTAGGAGTATTTTTAGTAGAATCTTTAGAATTTTTTTTATGTACAACATCATGTCATTTGTATAATTTTCTTCCACAATTGCTAAGACAAGTACTTCCAACACTATGTTGAAAATATGGGATAACTGTATATCCTTGCACCCAACTGTAAAAAGTCTTTCGGTTTTTCCTCATTAAGTTTATTGAATGTATTGTGTGAAGTATTTGCAATATTGAGATAACTTCATTCAACCCTCATATCTATGGAGACTATGAATTGCTTTTTGTCTTTCTTCTTGATGTTGTATCTCATTAATTAATTTACATATTTTGAACTATGCTGTATCACTGAAATAAATCCCACTTGACCGTCTTGTATGATGTTTTTAATGACTTTAATACTTAATACAAAGCTATATTAATTAAAACTGCTTTGCACTGGAACACAGATTGAATAGAATTGGGAGACAGGATATATAGGTACCCTCAGAATTGGGAACCCTCATATATAAGGACAGTTAATTTATAACAAAGGAACTAGATGCATGAAGTAAAACAAGAAGAGTCTCTTCAACAAATGGGTGGTGCTGAGAAAACTGTATAGCTAAATGTAAAAAAAAAGATGAAATTAGACCCCTACCTCACACCTTTAACAAAGGTTAACTCAGAATAAAGACCTTGATATTAAATTTTTTTAACTTTTTGAAAAAATTTCTTTAAAATAATGGAGAGAAACATGGGTGAGAGTCTACAAGATCTTTTTAGGGGGGTTAGGGGGACACCCAGCTGTGTTTAGTGCTTACTCCTGGTCCATGCTAAGGAATCACTCCAGGAGGTGCTCATGAAGCCATAGAAGTGCTAGTAATTGAAACCAGGTCAGCTGCGAGCAAGACAAATGCCGGACCTTCTGTACCGGCCCATCCCTATATGTTTACTTCAGAGGATCTTCTATGAGATGACCACATTGTCAAAGAAAATAAAAATAAAAGCAGGAACAAACAAATGGGACCTCAAACTAAAAGAGATTCTGCCTTGAGGAAGAAATGAGGCCTGATTAAAAACACACACACTCACACAAATAACTGGGAGAGAATATCTGCACATCACACATCAGGCCGAGGGCTGGGTGGTAGCAGCGAGCCTTCTGTGTTGTTTTCACTCAGAGGACTGGGTGGGATTCTGCCTTCCCTGCTGCACCTTCTGTGCTCCTGCCGCGCTGAGGGTGAACTTTCTTTGGAAGTGTCCTCCAGTAGTCTCTAAGGAATCAGGTGGAGAGTTACTCTTTTCCTCCCCTGCTTTTCTTCATCTGGTAGCACTGTAGCACTATCCTCCCATTGTTCATCAATTTGCTTGAGCGGGCACCAGTAATGTCTTCATTGTGATACTTTTTATTACTGTTTTTGGCATACCAAATACACCACGGGGAGCTCGCCAGGCTCTGCTGTGCAGGCGGGATATTCTCGGTAGCTTGCCGGCTCTCCGAGAGGGACGGAGGACTCGAACCCGGGTCGGCTACGTGCAAGGGGATCGCCCTACCCGCTGTGCTATCGCTCCAGGCCTCCCTTCTAGTGACAGAAAGTATAACTTTAAGCTGTATGAAATTTGATGAGTAGAGCTTTCTGCATACCTGGTCATGTGCATCAGGCAGGAGATGTGGAGTCGGACCCATTGTTAAAGCAAGATCAGGCTGCTGGGGACATAGGGACAAAGCTGTAAGGGAGGGTTATTCATCTTCAATTACAAAAAGGCCCTGGGAATATCAGCTGAGAGATTAACTTTACCTGAAAGGGTGAGCAAGAAGAGGACAGGAGATGCAGAGCTGAGTCTGTCGATATGGTCAGGCCATGGAGGGCCTAGCTGGAAGAGAGAGGAAGCTGCTTCCAGTTCCCAAAACACCTCTGGAGATGTCATCCAGGAGATTAATATCTCCTGGAAGAGTAGAGGAGCAAGTAGAAAATCTACATATTAGTTTTGCACATCAGTTAATTTATAGATCCCCTAAAGTTTCCTTCTCCAACTGGCCTGAGCTTTTTACAATTGGAAGCGAAATTTCAATGCCTCAGTCCTGAGAGTGAGAGGCATTATCAGAAGTCATCTTGCTACTTTGTAATAATGTATCATTACTTGCATTGTTGAAGGCATCTTGAAGGCCTTTACAAGTTCAATTGTTTTTAATGGGAGAATTTCAAAGTTTCGGGAGATATGTAGAACAGGAAATGTGCTCAAAGAATTTGAGAAAGTATAACCACCTGTCCTCCTGGGTGTGTGTGTGTGTGTGTGTGTGTGTGTGTGTGTGTGTGTGTGTGTGAGAGAGAGAGAGAGAGAGAGAGAGAGAGAGAGAGAGAGAGAGAGAGGAGGGAGTCCCACATTATGGAAGCAGTGTGACTGATAAAACTTGGAGGAAAAAATTAGAGAAATAATTCAATGATGTATATCAAGCTTAAGGACCTATGAGGATTCATAGGTCCTTAAGAATATATTGCTTGTGACGAGAGAGTTGAAATCAGCCTAAGTAATTCTCTGGGAATAAATAAATGTTACAGAATTGCATATGTAAGGTATTCAGAAGACAGATATAGATCTGGGCGTTTGCCTTGCACACAGCCAACACGGCCGACCCGAGTTCGATTCCTCCGCCCCTGTCGGAGAGCCCGGCAAGCTACCGAGAGTATCTCACCCGAGCGGCAGAGCCTGGCAAGCTCCCCGTGACGTATTCGATATGCCAAACACAGTAACAACAAAGTCTCCAATGGAGACGTTACTGGGCCCGCTTGAGCAAATCTAATGATATTAGATTTTAAAATTAATGTAAGACTGGGAAAATAATATTTAAGTTAATTAAAACTGTTAAAACATAAAATGCTACTACATATTTTCAAAGATTTATATTAAATATAAAAATTAATTTGAAAGTAATTAATTTTTATCTATAATTTTTATTTCATAACTAATTTATTTTATAATTTTAATTTACTTATAATTTATAGTAATTAAATTTAGTAAAATTTACCATGATATAAATGGTTTCACATAGAGTATTAGTACAATGGAAAATTTAAAGTCATCACTATGTATCCTTCTAGGCTCCTGATTAAATTAAACATTTTTTAAAATTGCTAATAGAACCATGAACATAGCTATTAGCCAGGAGCACATTCCTTGCATAAGCAAGATCCATGTCCCTCCAAACAGTGTTGAATGTAAACCTGGGAGTCTGCTACCATTCCCATGATAGCTCCTGGTACCATTGGGTTCAATAGTGCTACATTTCTAGCCCCTGGTGTTAAGTGCTGAAAATCTGGCTTACTTGGTTGAATATTACCTGGAGTGACCTTGGGCCCATTAAATACTGCTCGGGAAGCCCCACATCTCAAGTTACCAAAACATAGAACTTAAATGACTTTCCTCTTTACGTATGTGGAATTCCAAGGAAAAATATTTTAGAATTATGGCTCAAATTCTAGTGATTTCTCTTTGAGTGTAGCTTAACTTTTCTTTATAAAAAATCATCTAATTTTTTTTGCTTTTTTAGTCATAACCAGCAATGCACAGGGGTTACTCCTGGCTCTGCACTTAGGAATTACTCCTGGAGGTGCGCAGGGGAACCATACGGCATGTTGGGAATAGAATGGGTCTGCCACGTGCTAGGCAAATGCTGTCCCTCCGAGCCCAAATTATCTAATTTCTTAAGCAAAAATAAACGAAAACAATTTGAAATCCCAGATGCATGGTTATTGATATGTATTTTTCTTTATCAAACAGATCAATAAATACTGTTGGTGGTAATTTTTTAATTATTAAAATTTATAGTTTAATAGGGAATCAAATTAGACAATACTATGATTAGACAACTAATGATTCAAACATTATGAACTTTCATATATTGGCAATTGTAAAATTGTTTATATATGTATGTGTGAGTTTCAAATTTTGGTTGGAAAAGGTAAAATATTTGTGGATTTGTGATGTGTGGTTTATATACTGGGTATATTTCTTCTTTCTAGTGAATTAAAATAATTTATATGTAACATTTATTTCAGGATCTGATAAAGAATCGAATTTTTATACTCCTATCACTAGGTAAAGCTATGGAATATTTACACACTATTGGAGCGTCTGGATTTGTACCTACATTTATAGAACATCAGTTTCTATTATCAAAGAAGACTGCAACTTTTATTTCTGGTTGTACTATGCTTATCTGTTAGTTATACTCATTTTTAATGAAAAGTTTTCTTATATGTATTTATGTTTAAGAATAAAGTAGTAGTATTCGTAACTTCTGCACAAAATATAAATATATAAACACTGCATGTTTGAATTAAAAATATATAAGTACTTTGCCTTTTATTTCTTTTTGGATCACACGTAGTGGTACTCAGGGCTTACTTCTAACTCTGCATTCAGGAGTTACGCCTGGTATAGCTCTGGAGCCATAAGGGATGCTGGTGATCAAATATTGGCTGACTTCATGCCAGGAAAGCATACTACCCACTATGCTATCACTCCAGCTCATTTTTATCAATAGTTTTAAACACTAAAATCCTCATTAGTATATATATATATATCCCTTATATCATTATTTTCTTCCTCTATATAAGCAATCACTTGTGTAAAGTTATAGTCCTTCCTACAATTTGTTTATATTTTATGGTTTGTGTGCCAATCTACACATAACCTACATTTGATATCACGGTCACGGTTCTCCCGTTGTTCATCGATTTGCTTGAGCGAGTCCAGTAACATCTCCATCATGAGACTTTGTTGTTACTGTGTTTGGCATATCGAATACATCACGGGTAGCTTGCCAGGCTCTGCCGTGCGGGCGAGATGCTCTCGGTAGCTTGCCGGGCTCTCCAAGAGGGGCAGAGGAGCGATAGCACAGCGGTAGGGCGTTTGACTTGCACATTTGATATATGGTTTTTTAATTTTTTTATGGATATGAAACACTACTTTATTTTTTTTTAGACTTACAAACTTTCGTGTTTGGGTTTCAGTTATACAATGATCAAGTACCCATCTCTCCACCAGTGCCCATTCTCCACCACCAATGAAACCAGTTGCCCTCCCACCCCAACATTCCCTCCCACCCCACCCCACCTCTATGGCAGGGCATTCCCTTTGCTCTCTCTTTCCTTTAGGGTGTTCTGATTTGCAACAGAGGTATTGAGTGGCCATCATGTTCGGTCTATAGTCTACTTTCAGCACAAGTCTCACATCCCAAGCGAGTCCTCCAAACACCCTTTACTTGGGGTTCCCTTCTCTATCTGAGCTGCATTTTCCTCCAGCATGTGAGTCCAGCTTCCAAGCAGTGGAGCAGATCTCCTTGTACTTATCTCAACTATTCTTGGCTGTTCACCTCCCATTCTGTTAAATTTATATTGCCCAGATGTGTGCAGTCTTTCTATATCTGTCCCTTTCTTTCTGACTCATTTCACTTAGCATGATACTTTCCATGTAGAACCACTTGTTTGCAAATTTCATGACTTCATCCTTTCTAACTGCTGCATAATATTCCATTGTGTAGATGTACCAAAGTTTCTTTAACCAGTCATCTGGTCTCAAGCTTTCAGGTTTTTTCCAGATTTTGGCTATTGTGAATAGTTCAGCAATGAACATAGAAGTGCAGATGTCATTTCGACAATACCTTTTTGCCTCTCTTCGATATATTCTCAGGAGTGGTATTGCTAGGTCAAATGGGAGCTCAATTTCTAATTTTTTGACAATCGACCATACTGTTTTTCAAAAGGGCTGAATCAGTCAGCATTCCCACCAGCAGTGAAGGAGGGTCCCTTTCTTGCCACATCCTCTCCAACACCAGTTGCTTTTGTTCTTTTGGATGTGGGCCAGTCCCTGTGGTGTGAGGTGATATGTCATTGTTCTTTTGATCTGCATCTCCCTGATGATTAGTGATGTAGAGCATTTTCTCTTGTGCCTTTTAGTCATTCGGATTTCTTCTGAGAAAGCTTCTGTTCATTTCATCACCCATCACCCCATTTTTTGATGGGGTTGGATGTTTTCTTCTTGTGGAGTCCAACCAGTACTTTGTATATCCTTGATATCAACCCCTTATCGGATGGGTATTGGGTGAATAACCTTTCCCATTCTATAGATTGTCTTTGTAATTTTGTCACTATCTTTTGTGGTGCAGAAGCTTCTTAGGTTAATATAGTCCAGTTTGTTTATCTCTGTTTCCACTTGGTTGGTCAGTGGCATGTCATTTTTGAAGATACCATTAATCTCAACATTGTGGAGGATTTTGCCAACTTTGTCTTCAATGAACTTTATGGATTCTGGTCTGATGTTGAGATCTTTAATCCATTTTGATCTGACTTTTTTGCATGGTATTTAAGTCGAGGTCTAAGCCAATTTTTTTGCATGTGGTTGTCCAGTTATGCCAGCTCCATTTGCTAACAGATTTTAAGGAGGACATTGCCAGCAATACAATAGTAGTCAGAGATATATGGTTTTTAATATCTTTTGTCACTTTTACCTTAGCTTAGTTTTTTTTTCTTGAATTTTTATTAGTGAAACACCATGAGGTACAGTTGTAGACTTACAAATTTTTGTGCTTGGGTTTCAGTTATACAATGATAGAATACCCATTCCTCCACCAGTGCCCATTCTCCACCACCACCAGTCCCAGTATCCCTCCCACCCCTCCCCATCCTCCCATCCCACCCTACCTCTGTGGCAGGGCATTCCCTTTTGTTATCTCTCTCCTTTTGAGTGCTGTGGTTTGCAAAAGAGACATTGAGTGGCAATCTTGTTCGGTCTATAGTCTACTCTCATCAAACATTTCCCATCCTGAGAGGAACCTTACAACACCCTTTATTTGGTGCTCCCTTTCTATCTGAGCTGCCTTTCCCCCTAGCGTGTGTGGCTGTCCTCAATTAGCTTAGTTTTTATCATTCATTTTGATCTGTGATTTATCGTTTATCATTTTATGGGATCCTCTAGGATCCTATTTTGTGAATATGACCATATTTATCCAATACTGTGTTAATGGACATGAGATGGCCTCCATGCAGCAATACATTGGCTTAGCCATGTTTCCTTCCATATCATTGTAGTACTATAGCACTGTCCTCCCATTGTTCATCGATTTGCTCGAGTGGGCATCAGTAAAGTCTCTATTGTGAGACTTGTTGTTATTGCTTTTGTCATATCGAATATATCATGGGTAGTTTGCCAGACTTTGCCGTGCGGGTGGGATACTCTCAGTAGCTTGCTGGGCTCTCTCAGAGGGACGAAGGAATTGAACCTGGGCTAGCTGCGTGCAAGGCAAATGCCCTACTAGCTGTGCTATCCTCCTGCTCGTCACCTTCCATATCATATATTGGCCCTCCCGTTGATCGTCGATTTGCTCGAGCGGGCCCAGTAACGTCTCCATTGGAGACTTTGTTGTTACTGTGTCTGGCATATCGAATACTCTCGGTAGCTTGCCGGGCTCTCCGAGAGGGGCGGAGGAATCGAACTCGGGTCGGCCATGTTGGCCGCTTGTAAGGCGTCACCTTCCATATGACTATAAAAATTAAATCTATGTATGGACATTAAAGATGAATTTCTATTGTCTTCATCTTTATTTGATTTTTAAAGCTATTTTTTCATTGAGGTACCAGGCTTAATACTACTGTTAATCATGCTTTTCATGCTTACCTCATTCCAATGCCACATCTACCTCTAGAGGGCCTGCTTCTCTCAGTCAGTATCCCATGGGTCTTTATTCCTTCCCCACCTAGACTCAGTAGGTAGGAAAGACAAAATATTCACTGACTATGCGGATTGGTTGCTCTCTCTATGTTTTATCTTTTTCCTCACATATATATCTCTTTTCTGTGTTATTTTTTGTGTGTGGAGGTAGTGACACCTAGACACATATAAATGAACATATCCAACATCAAAATTGTTAATGACATTTTATTTCAAGAACTAAATCTTTTTTGTTATATAAATTTCAATAATTTTTCCTTTTCATTAAGAATCTGTGGTTTACAATGTAATTAATAATGAGGTATGTATATGCAATGGATTACATGCTCAAAGAACACATTTTAAAGAGTATTATGGATAATTCTGTGCTGATACATTATAGAGTTTACATGAGATAGGTAAGTAAAAGTAAAGTAAAGGCCCTCCCGTTGATCATCGATTTGCTCGAGCGGGCCCAGTAACGTCTCCATTGGAGACTTTGTTGTTACTGTGTCTGGCATATCGAATACTCTCGGTAGCTTGCCGGGCTCTCCAAGAGGGGCGGAGGAATCGAACTCGGGTCGGCCATGTTGGCTGCATGCAAGGCAGACGCCCTACCCGCTGTGCTATCGCTCCAGCCCACATGAGATATGAGATAGGTAAACCCTACAAATAAAAAATTTAGTAAGTGAAGAGAATTAAGAAAATTTAAAGGGAAAAACCTAAATAGGCCTATAAAAGTACACATTGTGTTTTATCATAATGAAGGAAATATTGGTTTTATATTAGAAACAATTATAAATTGTGCTTAAGTGTCTGCATTAAAAAATAAAAAGTTGCTGGGCCTGGAGTGATAGCACTCTAGGTAGGGCATTTGCCTTGCACGTGGCGGACCCAGGTTTGATTCCCAGCATCCCATATGGTCCCCTGAGAACAGCCAGGAGTAATTCCTGAGTGCAGAGCCAGAAGTAACCCTGTGCATCGCCAGCTGTGACTGAAAAAGCAAAATAATAATTAATAATAATAATTAAAAATAATTAAAGGTTGCAGTAAAGACCTCTATGGGTATTTTAAAAACCTCTTAAGATATAGAACATTCAACATAAATCAAATATTAATTCATTACTGAAAATGTATATAATCCCTTAGCAAGCTAAGGTAAATATACCTTTATTAATCTAGTAGCAGGTAACCATAAGCACCATGAGTGCCAGACTCAAGGCCATGTGCTGAACAGTTGGCCCAGTTCTTTAAAGAACTCCTTTAATGCTTCTTGCAAAACTGGTTTCAAGATCATGAATTCCCTGAGCTCTTGCCTGCCTATGGAGCTCTGTATTGCTTTTTCATATATGAAAGAAAATCCAGCTGGATAGTGTGTCTTGGTAAGGTTTTCTTTTCCTTGATTGTTTTGCACATCTCTCTCCATTCTCTTCTGGCTCATAGAATCTCTTCTGAAAGATATGTAGTGACTCAAAAGCTTTCTTTTGTATTTTTTTATTTTTTATTATTTATTTATTTATTTTAAATTTTGGTTTTTATTTTTATTTTTAAATTTTGCTGCTTTCAATATTTTGACTCTGTCATTGGTTTTTGTCATTCTGAGTACAATGTGTTCTGGAGGTTTTTTTTTTTTTTGGTGGGGGGAGGGGTGAGTCCCTTTGGGCCTCTTATCTTTTCTCAACTATGAGAAGTTTTTAACTATTTTTTTTAACTATTAGTCACTCACCAAACACTTAGATGAATCCTTGATAGTTCCTCTTATGCACATAAGACAGTCTTCTGATGTGTTGTTTATTTCTTTTTGGACTTTCCCCCTACCTTCTATTTTTTTCTAGAAGTTTCCTCTATCTTATATTGGAGCTACTCGATCATTTCCTCAGCCAATATTATTCTGCTCAGAGCTTCTAAAGATTCTTAATATCATATACCTGACTTTTCATTTCTCTCATTTCTCCTTACGGTTTTCTCATTCGGGCTCACATACTTTCTTGTGCTTTTCTGACCATCTGTGTCATCATTTCTTTGGGTTCACTAAACATCCTTACCATGTTGTCAATAAACTCATTTTCTAAAGATTTTCAGAGCTGGTTGGTGTTGGTTAAATATTCCTTTTTATTGTTTTGCCCATTGAAACTGGTGGGTTTCTACACATTTTCCCCATTGGTTTTTCAGTATTTCTGCTGTGTTGAGGGTGAATTTTGTAGTTAAATCTCCTGGGGAACTCTGAAATAATATGCTGTGAGTTGCTCTTTTCCTTCTCTGCCTGTCTTCACCCGCTGGTATAAAGACTAATTGTGAGCACTGTAAATTTGTTCCTGTGTGCGATAGCACAGCGGGTAGGGCATCTGCCTTGCATGCAGCCAACATGGCCGACCCGAGTTCGATTCCTCCGCCCCTCTCGGAGAGCCTGGCAAGCTACCGAGAGTATTCGATATGCCAGACACAGTAACAACAAAGTCTCCAATGGAGACGTTACTGGACCCGCTCGAGCAAATCGATGATCAACGGGAGGGCCTTTACTTTTTACTTACTTACTCGAGTACGCTTCAGGAGCTGTGGCAGGGGCTCATTAACATGGTTGAGGTAAAGAATGAAGATGCTGGAACCTAATGGGAAGCCAGCAAATCTGACTTATGTTCTGAGTAGGCCAGTGATCTCAGCCAGAGATGAATCTCATCTGGAAGTTGGAGCAGCAAGTCAAGATTCTGTATATATTTTTACTTTTTCTAAGATACTGGAAGGACTAGTGGGGGGGGAGTGAGAATGGATTTTGGGAGAAGATTATACTTGCACAAATTGTTGTGGCCTGAAATTCTGTGCATACATTTTAAAAAATTCATTTTATTCCCAGTGGTTGGTGTCAGAGATTGATAGTTAATGTTTCAGTGATGTTTTCTCTCCCTCACTCCTTCACTCAGGATTGGGTGTGTCTGTATTTGTGACATGTTTTGTCTAGGTATTAATTCTATCTTTAAAAAATAAGGCTGTAATTGTGATTCTTTTAATATGCTATCTTGTAGCTTTCATCATTTTTGTCTAGCATTGACATTATGAAATTTCCCTAAAGTTTGCTGCTTAATTTTGAATCTTTTCCAGTCAGGACCAATGTTGAATTCATTGCAGAAATTTTCTATCCCCAAGATTACTTCTCTGATATTTCTTTTGTAATAGTTTTTACAAATTATACAAAATATTCTGTGAAACTTCATATTCCCTTACTACTACTTTTCCCTATTTTTAAATATTATGTTTAAAGTGGTCTTAGACTGACAGAGAAAGTATTAAGAGTACAGTGAGTTTTCATATATTATACATCTAACATCTCCTTTTGTTAATATTTTATATTAGTATGGTTGGTTTGTTAAAATGGATGACATAATATTTGAACATTAAAATTAGCTAAAATACTGATTTTGCTTTCCTTATTTTCTACATAATTTCTTTTTCTTCTCTAGTATCTCATTCAGGATACCAAATTATAATTATTGGTCATGTTCTATCAATTCCTCTTGGCCTCAGTATTCCCTTACTTTGCTCGAGCGGGCCCAGTAACGTCTCCATTGGAGACTTTGGTGTTACTGTGTCTGGCATATCGAATACTCTCGGTAGCTTGCCGGGCTCTCCGAGAGGGGCGGAGGAATCAAACTCGGATCGGCCATGTTGGCTGTGTGCAAGGCAGACGCCCTACCGCTGTGCTAATGGCCTAAAGTTGAGGAATGCTGGTCCAGTATATTTAGAATATTCCTCAGTTGGGAATTGATGGTTTTTCATGATTACTCAAGGATTATGAGCTTTAGGAGAAAACAACAACAGAGATACAATTCCATTTCATCATAGGCCATCAATAGGTGCCTATTACCAATGGGACTTAGGACTTTGACTTTAATCATCTAGGGAGGTAGAATTTATCAGATTTCTCCAAGGTACTCTTATTTAGTGTATGCTTGTTTTAGTTATACTATTTCACTCTTTTTACCTTTTTATTTTTTATTTTTGTCAGACTTCAAAACTTATGGCTTTATTGGCCTACATTCCAGTTCTGTTTCTGTTTTGTTTTATTGGCCTACATTCCAGTTCTGTTTTTCTAATAGAGTTTTAAAAAACACAAATCTATCAACATTCCATATTGTCTGATAAAGATCAGAGGAAATTATGTAATATGTTTATTGAACATTTAAAATATAATATGCATAAAATTGTTAGAGAGCTAGGCAAGCTACCGAGAGTATCCTGCCCACATGGCAGAGCCTGGCAAGCTACCCATGGTGTATTCAATATGCCAAAAACAGTAAAAAATAACGGAACACATTCCCCTGACCCTGAAAGAGCCTCCAATATGGCAGCGTTAGGAAAGACGAGTAAGGAAAGGCTGCTAAAATCTCAGGGCTGGGACGAATGGCAACATTACTGGTGCCTGCTCAAGTAAATTGAACAATGGGATGACAGTGATGCAGTGAAAGAGTACCTAGAAATTTCATTCATAAAATTCTGAGTAATTCGAGAGCTTGAATGCATAACAGTCAAGGTGCTAGTGACACAACGATTCAAGTGTTTGACCCTCATCAGCACAACTATATTGAAGTGCTAGACCAAATCAATTCTTCCAAGAAAAATAAGGGGACAGAGCAATTTTACAGCAGGCAGGGAACCTACCTTGCATGTAGCCACCTAGCTTTGATCCTCTGAACTCAATATGGTCCTCAGAGAACCATCAGTAGTGATTCCTAAGCACAAAGCCAGGAGTAAGACCTCAGCACTGCTGGGTGTGACCTCCAAATCTTCTTACCATTTTAATATAAGCTGAATTAATAACAAAATAATATCCAGGGCTTTCCATATGTATATTTAAATGGGACTTCTTTTGCTCCAGATATCTCTTTCTTTCCTCCTATTTAAATCTACTCTGTGTATAATGTAGAAAAATTTCTAGAAGAGAATATCAATGCATGGATTTTCTGTGCTATTTCATACCTATAATTAATTTATAATTATGCTATTTTATACTACTTTTTCTCATCCTTCAGCTTGTCTTTTTCTAATTGCTTATACTTGATTAAAATAAAATTATGGACAATACTAGCTATTCTGGAGTCTTATGTTGTTGGGAATTAATTGATACTGCAGATCTATTTACAGAACTGATGAACTGCTTGCTTTCATTATTAGTAATGAACTTCTGTGTGCACCTTTATCAATTAGAATACCTCTACAATCACCTAAATCCAAGCAACTATGCAATAGTGTGTCTTAAATATTGCTTATGTTTTGTATAGATTAGGTTTTAGGATTGTCTTAGTTGTTATTGCGCAGACTTCATTATTGCCTTAGAGTCCATTCATCTGTGGCTGCCAGCCAACTTAAAAATTTTGTCTTTTCATAGAAGGACTGCACTCATTTGTGGAGTAAAAAACAATATAACATGAGGTTGACACCTAAGGACAGTAGATACATGGGACAGATAGATATATTGCTCCACAGTTGGAAGCCTGACTCATGAGCAAAGAGGAGAAGGCAGCTGGAATAGAGAAGGGATCACTAAGAAAATGATGGCTGGAGGAATCAGTCGGGATGGGAGATGTGTGCAGAAAGTAGATAAAGGACCAAATATGATAACCTTTCAGGGTCTATATTGCAAACCATAATGCCCAAAAGTAGAGAGAGCGATTATGGGGAATCATGTCTGCCATGGAGGCAGAGGGAGGGTGGGAAAGGGGGAGTATACAGGGGATATTGGTGGTGGAAAATGTACACTGGTGGAGGGATGAGTGTTTGATCATTGTGTGATTGTAACCCAAACATGAAAGCTTATAACTATCACACAGTGATTCAATAAAATTTAAAAAAACAACTTTTTCTTTCATACATTGATGAGGTAGCGAAGAATTAGAGAACACTGGTGGAGGGATTGGTCTTGAATTACTGTAGGACTAAATTGCAACGATCAGTAACTTTGTAAATCATAGCTCCTTAAGAACTAAAAAAAAGAAAAACAATTCCCACTTTGTCTTCTAAAGTTTAGATTTGTTGAGACATCTATCATGCCTCTACATTTTTACTCTATCTTCTTATTTAAATTTATTTATTAGATGTTAGAGCAGGGAGAATTGCATAAATGTCTGATATTTTTACTATATTTGCTGATTTATTTGAGAACTATCTTAGCTGGTTATATTTTAACTGTGTATTTTCCTTTCCTTCTCTATCTCTCAGGAATTATTATAATTCCAGCAAGTGCAATTGGTTATATTCTAGGAGGTTTCATTGCTTCCAGTTTAAAATTGTCTAGTAGAGGTCTTATGAGACTTATAATGATTTCATCTGCTGTGTCATTTATACTGTTTGCAGTTATAATGATCTTAAACTGTGACCCGATACCATTTGCTGGACTCAATGAAGATTATGATGGGTAAATATTAATTTTACATCAGATTTTTACATCAAACACAATAAGGTATTTCTCAGAAAAATAATGATTATTTTTCCAGGAATACATTTATGTAATTTATGTAGATATTTTATTGGAATTATTAAGTATGTAAAAGTAAAAGATCACCTTTTTACTATTTCGATTAAGGGTAAAAATATGATGATATAACTATGTATTCTTAAATAAAACTTTGAGAACTTTCAGAAAGTATCATCAGAATTCTTTTGTTTATTTTTAAATTTTAGACACCTGATTTACAAGGCCTTTAATAGGGGAGTTTGGGACATTAAATGTTCCACTTCCAAACTCACCATCAATGTCTTCATTGCCACCAATGAACCAGTATTCCTTCCCTCTCTTTGCCCCACCTCCTTAAAAATGTCTTTATTTTTGCTAGAGTGGGCAGTGGGAACGCCTGGCAGAACTCATTACTTACTCCTGGTCCTGTGTTTAGGTGTTATTCGTGGTAGGCTTGGGGGACTTTATTGGGTGCCAGGGATCAGACTCAGATTGGCCATATACAAGGCAAGCACCCTACCCATATGGCTCTAGTCCCAGAAAACTTTTCTTAAAAAATACTTATTACAATAAATTTATCACATATTTGCAATAGTGTCGACTCTTGTGGTTTTAATCTAGAGTCAATTCATATCTAAGCTTTCAAAATGTCCAGGAACCTTGACTATCTATTTGTTTATTCCCTCTCTCTACCTCATCCTCCTTCCAAGGAGCTCTCATTTCTATAATCCAGAACCAAGGGGTTGCCATCGTATGATAACTTCCATTCCCTTTTCTTATTCTTCTATTTACACAGATATGTGAGAATATGTGGCATTGTTCCTTCTCTCTCTGACTTACTTAACACAAAAATACCCTCCAGTTGCATCCAAGTTGATGTTAACTACATCTTTTCCTACAGTTGCACAGTGTACTACTGTGTATATAGATCACAACTTCTTTACCCATTTGTATGTTGTTGGCCATTTGGAGATTCCTATTACCTGGTTATTTTCCTGAGCACTACAATAAACATGTGTGCATTAATTAATGGGTTTGGGGGGAGGACATAGATAGAAGTGAATTCTATATTGCAGTGGCTAGACATAACTAGGAGATACTATTAATTGGTTGTACCAATTCAGTCTTTCTTGGGTTCCTGAACTGGCATATCTCGGATCTAAAAACATTAAACAATGGAACTGAGGTACAACAACAAAGTGCATATGAGTCAGGTCTTCTTTAAACTAAATGTGGGGGAACAAAAAACCTCAAAGAACTGGTCAGTGTTAGATAGACATCAAATATAGGGCAACAGACTGGGGTCAGGAAGAAAAAAACTGAGCTAATAAACTAAACCGATAAACTAAATAAAGAAAGCATCTCCACTTGCAATACAGTGAAGAAACTTTTAAACACACTAAGAACAGCTCAAGGAACTGAATAAAGTTTTAAAAATGTGTCTGAAGACAGCAAATTTTTGTTTGAACAAGTTTAAAGGTCAATTATCCTGAGAAAGACAAATCCTTAAGAGGAGAAATAACTTTCTGTAGTTACAGAGTTTCACTGAGGATATTTGTGATTCTTCAAACCAACTAGAAGAAAAATTTGGAGAGGGGAGAAGTTATCTCATAAAGGGCTGGGAGATCGCTCAATAGATTTGAGCACAGGCTATGCATGCAGGAAGTAGACCTGGGTTCATCATCGGTACCATACTGGAGCAACCTCACAGCTGGTCTAATCTGGGGCACAGCAAGAAGAGGAGCCCTCCTAACTCCAGGGTTCACCAGAACAAGAACAAACCAAAATTTATCTGCTAGTTAGGTCTTTTAAAAATCACAGAAGCCCGAATAGGTAAAAATTAGGTCATGAATGAGGCATTATATCATAGAAAGAGAGAGACTAAAGATACAAATCAAACAAATATTATAAAAAGTAGAAAAAATGTTGTCATTGTGACATTTTTAAGCAAAAGTTAGAGATTACCTAAAGTATTATATCCTAGCCATAAAATGGTATGGTTTCTGATAGGATTTATATAACCAGCCTGTATTCTGTCTAGCAGCAGAAAGACAGACCAACATGTAAAATGCATTTTTGTATATTGAATCAACTCAAAGTTCTTCACTGTAAAGAGCATATCCAACCAAACTAGGAATGTGCTTCAAAACTATGAGTCTGGGCCAGAGAAATAGAACAACTAGTAAGGTGCTTACCTTGCACAGAGTCAACCTTAATTAGAGCCTGAGAACCACCAAGCCTCACCAAGAATGAGCTCTGAGTAGAATCAGGAGTACACCCTGAGTAGAGTCAGGAGTACGCCCTGAGAACAGCTGGGTGTGGTCCTAACCCCAAAAACAAACAACAGAAACAAAAATCCTAAAACAGAAAGGAAAAACAACAGAAATGAACTGTGTCAAAATATGACACAGACCCATTAGGAACTTAGATATTGGTGTTATCAAATAAGAACGCTAAATTTGAGACCTGAGAAACAGAGCAATGCTTAAGGTACTTGCCTTGCATGCAAATGCTGGTATTATCCTTATTTGAATCCCAGCACCACATATACTCCCCTAAGCACCACCATGTATGACTGAGGCAAGTGTGACTCCTGAACACAGACCTAGGTGTGACTCCTGAATACCACCAGGAGTGGCTCCTGAATACTACGCTGTTGGCTCAGGGTAGAAACCTAGATGTGGGCCCCAGAACACACACGTGAATGGCCTCTGAGCACTGCCTAGTGTAGTCCCTCTCTAAAAACAGTGCTAAATTATATTGAGAGGAGCAGTAAGTACAAATTCTCAGAAAGAAATGGGGTTTCAGAAAACAGTAGAATATCTTAGGAATGTTGAAAGATATACATTGTCAACTTAAAATTTCTTGTCTAATATATATTTTTAAGAATGAATATAAAATATTTTATCAAGTGAAGGATAACTAATATAATTTGTTGCTAACCCCAAAAGAAACAATCACTCTGTCAGTTTAAGTGATACAAAAAGGAATACCTGAAGCATAAAAGAAGGGTAAAAAATGATTAATAAGTATTAAATAGACACATTTATTTTACATTTTAAATATATATGACTGTTGCAAACAAAAATTTAACATTGTCTTGTGCGTTTTTTGAGGAAATGTATGTAATATATGTAATATATTTGAGAAATATAAATCCAAAGAGAGAGGGTCTTAATATATATGTATTTTTAATTTTTAAAATTTTTTGGCCACATCCAGCGATGCACAGGGCTTGCTTCTGTCCCATGCACTCAGGAATTACTCCTGGCAGTGCTCAGGGGATCATATGGGATGTTGGGAATCAAACTCGGGTCAGCTGCGTGCAAGGCAAACGCCCTGTCCACTGTGCTATTGCTCCAGCCCCTATGCACATATTTTTTAGGGGGGTAAAATATCAATTCAAAATATAGTGGCAAATTTGTTCATACATAAAACTATATATAAATATACAGTTTGAATTTATAAATAACCTAGATATGTAAAGAACTTAGATATCTACACATGCATATATGATTGCACCTTATTTTTATATCTCTGAGACTGTAAAAACAATAAAGAATAGGACTTCTAGATTCTATTACACATATAAAGAGCTTGTAAATAACCCATCATGTTCTCACACCAAGAAAATATTTGAATAAATTTAAAATCAATAACTCCTTAAATTCATCAGAGATTATCATAATGGAAAGATGAGAAAACAGTATTATTAGCAGAAGCCGCTGAAGCCAAACACTAAATATATTTGTAATTTACTAATTGCTAGTTGTAGCGCAGGTATTAATTTGAAACTTTAAAAAATTCTGGAGAGTACAATATTTGAGGGAACCCCATATACTTTCATTATTCATATACAGGTGCCTATCAGATTCTAAGTGTGAAATCTGGAGAAAATAGATTTTTTTTTTTGGTCAGATTGAGAAGGAAAGTGACCATTTTGAAATATGTGCTAAAGAAGACTGTTCTCTGTGACAAATTCTGCCCACTAGGTGCTGCCTTACCAGATTTTCACCCATCAAAGTTTATGGAAGCGTCTTTAGACAAGCCAACAGTTCTTTTCCCCTCCTGACTTATATGAGAGAAGGGAAAAACGACTTTCTTATTAAAGTTCACAGCCGAGAGGATCCAAGCATACTGAAAAGATCGCATAAAATCTGGATTTTATCATGACATTACACATCAACCCCCTACAAAGCATTACCACTTCTTGAAATTTTAAAATCTGATCTAATAACAGAACTTAAATAGAAAGAGTGCTAAGTTGAAGTGAGTTTAGTAATGAGTATCTAAAGGTAGAGAAGATAGCTCAAAGCACTAAGTGGAAACATAGGCAGAATCCTTTATCGTATTAAATCTAAAGGTGTCTTCAATGAATCAGTGCCATTGGCTAAGTAAATAGAAGAAAACAATAAACAAAAGGGACTACATGAAATTAAGAAGCTTTAGCATTGCAAGAGAAATGTTGACAAAAAGAAAATTTAAAAATAATTACAATAAAAGCAAAACAAAAGAAATAATGCCTAGTACAAAAAGACACCATTTACAAAAAGGTCTGTAGCACTGTCCTCCCATTGTTCATTGATTTGCTCGAGTGAGCACCAGTAATGTCTCCATTGTGATAATTGTTACTGTTTTTGGCTTATCAAATATGTCACAGTTAGCTTGCCAGGCTTTGCCTTGCCAACGCGGTACTCTCGGTAGCTTGCTGGGAACTCTGAGAAGGGCGGAGGAATTGAACCAGGGTCCGCCCAGGTTGGCTGCTTGCAAGACAAGCATCCTACACACTGTGCTATCGCTCTAGCCTTACAAAAAGGTCATAAGAAATTATTTGTTCACCACTCATATGACAATGGGTTAATATATAAAATATCTAAAGTCCTTTTAAAATGTAATACCAACAAATAATCCCATCAAAAAATAGAAAGTAATTATGGACACTTTTATCTTAAAGAAGGTATACAGATGATCAATAGGAGAAATTCTCTGGGAAATTGAATCTACAGATGTCCTCAATGGTTTGACACCAGAGGCAGACAATAAATTCAACATTAAGAAATGGAACCATATCAAATAAAAAAAAGGTTCTGCACAGCAAAATAAACTTGAGCTAAGTGTAAAAAGACATTCATACTAATTGGGAGAAAATATTTGCATATATATAATGGGTTAATCACCAATGTTTATATATCACTCACAAAACTCAATAAAACTTCTAATAAAATAACATCGAAAAATGTGGAAAGAACAGATCCTACCCCAAATCTAATATTCAGATGGCTAGTAGACATTTTCACTTATCAGGAAAATATCAATCAAGACTACAATGAAATATTGTCTCACACCAGTGAGAATGGTACATATGAAAAAACTAAAAACAAATATTGGAGGGGATGTGGAGGGAGAGGAACTTCCATTCACTGCTGGTAGGAATGTTCTCCGATTTAGCTTTAATGGAAAGCATTATGGAGATTTTCCAAAAGTGGAAAACTAGAAATCCTGTACAGCACAGTGATTCTTGACACCCCTCTGCAACACCAAACACATTAATTAGAAAAGATATAGGCACACCATTACTCATTGTTGTGCTTAGTACAACAGCTAGGGCATGGATTCAATGCAAATGTTCAACAACAAACAAGTGAACCAAGCTGAGGCATATATGCACAATGGAGTTCTGAGTAAGAAAAGATGAACTCATGCAAAACATAGATGGAATTGGAAGGAAACAGGGGAACTGAAATAAATCAGATGAAATACAAAAGCTGGATTATTTCACTCATCAGAGGAATAGGGAGAGACAAAAAAAAAGAGGATAGGTAGTAGGCATGAAAAACTTTTGGAATTAAAATGAAAAGCCAGTTACCAAACAGTTGAATGTGGGGTGGGGTATAATAAGAAAGACCAGATTAAAAATGACAGAGGGGCAGGGTTATGACCCCTTGAGTGGTGGTTTGATATAGAAATTTTACATATTGCTACCCGAGTTCGATTCCTCCGCCCCTCTCAGAGAGCCCGGCAAGCTACCGAGAGTATTCGATATGCCAGACACAGTAACAACAAAGTCTCCAATGGAGACGTTACTGGGCCCACTCGAGCAAATCGACGATCAACAGGAGGGCCTTTACCTTTACCTTTACATATTGCTACCATAAATTTTAATGCTATTGTGACTTGACTACTGAAAACAGAATAAAAGGACATTTTAAAATTCATTTAATACAGAATCAAGTAAATTATGTGGAAGAGAAAGAGGAAAGTCTTATTATTTAAAAATAAATAAAATAAAAATAAATCAAGAGACCAGAGCAATTGTACAGCAGATAGGTAGTTTGCCTTCTAAGTGGTTGACCATTTAGTCAATAAAATTAAAATATTAAAATAAATCAAAATAAAGTTGGTGTATAATAGCTGATGTGGTAAATTTAATAGTAGTCCAAATCCTTCAAACAACATTAGCAATATAAATATATAATTTAAATAAAAAGTGGTCACTTAAAATTCACAATAATCCAGAATCTTTATAGATCTAATGAACACTTTAAAATATGGGGGGAAATGTGCAAAGAAAACTTAGAATTCCACAACTATAATTGGTATTATGAAGCTCATCTCTTGGTTAATGACACATAGCCCAAAAAAAGAGTCAATAATGATAGTTAAATAGTACAATAATGACATTTAAATAGTACTTCCAACAAACTTTAAGTGACATTTGACCATCATACACCATAACTTTTCTATTTTTTTTTCCCCACCTTCCTCCCTTTTCTATTCTTTTTAAGGACAAATGAGACATTTAATAGAACATACCTCGAAATGTAAAACAAGTCTAAGATAATTTAAAGAATTAAGTCACATAATGGAATTAAATCTTCTGATCATTAGAAATGTTAGTAACAATTTGGGGGTTTATCTCTAAATACCTCCTAAATGGGTAACAAACTTTCAAATAACCTGTGGGTTAAAAATTATTCAAAATGGAAATCGAAATGACCAGAGTTATAGATCAACTTAAGCTGTGTGCTTTACACATGGAAGAGCCTAGATTAGGTTCTGGGCACTACAAAAAAAATTAAAAAAAGAAAGAAAAATAAAAATAATATGGAAGTCACATTCCCTGAATGCTACAAAACCTCGTTGAGGGAAGTCAGAGACCTAAATGAATTCTGGGGGTGGTGCCTCCTAAGTGGTGCTCAGGAGGCCTGGGGGCAGGGGCTGGTGTCTTAGTGAATATCAGCCCATTGGACTGGTGGTTCAGTGCAAAGGACCAAGAATGCAGAGCTACGCCACCCTGGGAATTACCTTGACACTCCAGCAGTGCTTGGGGACCAGGTAAAGTCTGGGATCCAGAATTCAACAGTTCCTTAGAAAGAGAGACACACATCTCCCATATATATCTTCCGAGCATTCTACATCTTAGTATGCTCATAAAAGACGGGGAAGCAACTGATAATAGAAAGTCAAAGTAAAATCAAGTTTTATTAGAGAAATAAGATAAGGGAAAGTATTCCTGCTATGATTCCATTTCCTCAAAAGGTATGAAATTTAAATAATCAATAGTGACAGAAAGTAAACCATTAAATGTTAAGGGCAATCAATTGGAAGGAGTTTTAAAGAAACTAAAGAAACTTTTTGTGTTGATGATCCTTAGTATGGTTTCTGATAGTCACAAAAAGTATGCGCATTATAGAACATTTAAACTATATCTCTTTATTTCTGTGAAATAAAGCTGTCAAAATTATTTCAGTTCTGGGCAGGGACAAAGCACAGGTGATAGGCACAGCCCTTGCATGAAGCCGACCTGGTTCAATACATGGAACAGACAGGAGTGATCCTTGAGTACAATGTGAGGAGTAATCCAAGGCCATTGCTGGGTTAATATGCCCCTAAAAGAAACCATGTATTTAAATTACTATTTTATGTGTAATAAATAGTTTTGTATAGATAAATAAGCATAATAGAGTAGCATTTTAATTACATAAAACCTATTTTTTTTACAGGACAGGGCTGTTTTTCAATCTGACAGCTCCTTGCAATTCTCGTTGTCATTGCCCAACTTCATTTTATTCTCCTATATGTGGAAGAAATGGTGTGAGCTACTTTTCTTCATGCTTTGCAGGCTGCATGAGATCTAAAATAACAAATAAAATAAAGGTAGACATTCTTTTTAATACTTTCTTTTGATTAATATTTTAAGCTTATAGGTGATATATGCTTTTTACTTCTGGCTTCTTTCCTTATTTCCCATATTTATAAAATTTCAAAAACAAGGACAAAATACTTGATTTGAAGAACTTATAATAGAATGGTTTATGGAAATAGGTAAGTCCTATATTCACACCGTGATTTACAAAGCCATTACTAGTAGACTTTCTGGCATGCAATGTTCCAAGTGCTACCCCACCACCGGTATTAACTCCCCTCTACCCATGTCCCCAGCCCACTCCCAGGCTGTCTCCTTGGAAGGCATAGTTTTAAGTATGGGAATTTTGGTTTGGTTCTCATGCTTACAGACTTGTTGGCTCTATGTTTAGATTCATTAATGTAACTCCCTCTACACCACCAACATGCCTGAGATCCCTTGATCTCTGCCTCTATTATCACCCATCCACCTCTTTTTACTCCCCCTTTTGATTTTTTCCCTTTCTTGTCATTGCAATTTCCATACTCCAGGGTCGGGAGTAATCTAGGTATTCACCCTTTGATGTCTTGCATTCCCTTGTCTTGGTTTTTTGTTTGTTTGTCTTGGAGGATTTTTTTCTGAGTTTTTTTTTTCATGACCGTGAGTGACCTTTGAACCCAGAGCCAGGAAGTCCAGAGCACAAATAAATGTGGCCCAAATATAACTAAAAATAAATATATAAAAATAGAGAAACCTTCTAATACATATACATAATATATAATATTTTGGATAGAAACCGGCATATTGCATACTTTTTAATAGACTTTAACATTTATTTAATGATATTTTGGAGAATAAGAAAAATAATTTAAAGTAAAATGAGCCTTTGGGAATTTGACTTTTTAAAAAAATAAGTTAATATTTTCGGGGCTGGAGCAATAGCACAGCAGGTAGGACATTTGCCTCTCACGCGGCTGACCCAGGTTCAATTCCCAGCATCCCACTTGGTCACCCGAGAACTGCCAGGAGTGATTCCTGAGTGCAAAGCCAGGAGTAACCCCTGAGCATCGCCAGGTGTGACACAAAAAGAAAAAAAATCAGTATTTTCTAAATATTTTCATGGTCATAGATAAGATAAAGATAAAGGCCCTCCTGTTGATCATCGATTTGCTCGAGCGGGCCCAGTAACATTTCCATTGGAGACTTTGTTGTTACTGTGTTTGGCATATCGAATACATCACCGGGAGCTTGCCAGGCTCTGCCGTGGGGGCGAGATACTCTCGGTAGCTTGCCGGGCTCTCTGAGAGGGGCGGAGAAATCGAACTTGGGTCGGCCATGTTGGCTGTGTGCAAGGCAAACGCACTACCGCTGTGCTATCGCTCCAGCCCATGGTCATATTATATTGAAAGTACATTTGAAATTATTGGTGTAGTATATTGCACTGCACTGCACTGCATTGTCTTCCCATTGTTCATCGATTTGCTCGAGCGGGCCCAGTAAAGTCTCCATTTTGAGACTTGTTTCTACTGTGCTTGGCATTTTAAATACATCACGGGTAGCTTGCCAGGCTTTGTGGGCGAGATACTCTTTTTTTTTATTTTAATTAATTAATTTATTTATTTATTGAATCACTGTGGGAAAGGTTACAAAGCTTTCAGGTTTATGTCTCAGTCATGCAAATATCAAACACATTTCCCTTTACCAATACTTATTTTTTACCATGAAGAATCCCAATAAAGCCCCACCCCCCACCCCTCCCCGTCCCTGTGAGGCAGATGAATTCTAGTTAACACTCTATCTGCTTTGATTAGATTCATTGTTTCAATAAAAGATTCACCACTATTTTTTAGAGTTTACCCCCCCCCCCAAATCAGACATGCTGAAAAAGCATTGTGAAGTGATTTGCTTTCTACAGCTGCGTTCAAGAATTAAATGTAGGTTTTGGATTTCTGCTATTTTACCTATTGACCCCGGAGGTATTTCTACTGAAAGTCAGATAGTTAAGAAATTGGTTTCTGTGTTCTGGAGTCGTGGCCGTGCTGGAGAGCCGCTCGCGGGGGGCAACCGGTGGCCTCTGTAGGGTGTGAAGGGCGGAGCGAAACGCCCCCCTTCCCATGAGGTTTTAGTCGCCCCCACACTCCCGGCTCATACCTGCTGTCCACAAGGCTACCATGTGGCCGCCATCTTTCTTTCCAGAGAGGAGAGGGCGAATGGGGCAACACCCTTTCCCCTCTGGGCAGAAATGATTGCCTGGATTAACGCATAGTCCTTTCACTTTTCTGCTCCAAGCTGCTGGGTTCTGCATTAAGTCCTTGTGCTTCTGGGGCTGTGGCTGTGCTGGAGAGCTGCTCATGGGGGGCAACTGGTGACCTCGGTAGGGCGTGAAGGACGGACCGGAAAGCCCCCCTTCCCATGAGGTTTTAGTCGCCCCCACACCCCCGGCTCATACCTGCTGTCCACAAGACTCCCATGCGGCCACCATCCTTCTTTCCAGAGAAGAGAGGGCGAATGGGGCAACACCCTTTCCCCTCCGGCAGACTTGATGGCCTGGATTAACACATAGTCCTTTCACTTTTCTGCTCCGAGCTGCCAGGTTCTGCATTAAGTCCTTGTGCTTCTGGGACTGTGGCCATGCTGGGGAGCCGCTCGTGGGGGGCAACTGGTGACCTCGGTAGGGCGTGAAGGACGGACCGGAACGCCCCCCTTCTTGTGAGGTTTTAGTCGCCCCCTCACCCCCGGATCATACCTGCTGTCCACAAGGCTCCCATGCGGCCGCCATCCTTCTTTCCAGAGAAGAGAGGGCGAATGGGGCAACACCCTTTCCCCTCTGGGCAGAAATGATGGCCTAGGTTAACGCATCGTCCATTCACTTTTCTGCTCTAAGCTGCTGGGTTCTGCATTAAGTCCTTGTGTTTCTGGGGCTGTGGCCGTGCTCCAAACTTAACTCTGATTTTCAGGGAGAAAGATTGGGTGGTTTACTTCTCATTGATCACTTTGTATATAGAGAGATGGCTTATGCGGCCATGCGGTTTTGAGAAAAAGTCCTCGTTCCCGCATACTCGAGCTGTATTTGTAGAGGATTCTGGTCACCGGGGTTCCATTTGGGGGAGGCGGGATGCGGCACCTACTCCATCTGGAAATTGCCGGTGATCTCGGCTCTTTTTGGAACCTGTTTTTTTTTTTTTCCCCCTCCGGGATCTGTGATTCCTGCACCCTCCATGTGGTCCTTCTCTTAGACTGAACGCTTCAAAGATGGCGCTGGGGGGCGGGCTGTGGGCGTGACTTCCGGAATCAGAGGTTACCTGGGAGGTGTAGTCCGGCAGATTTGAGAAAAAGTCCTCGTTCCCGCATACTCGAGCTGTGTTTGTAGAGGCTTCTGGTCACCGGGGTTCCATTTGGGGGAGGCGGGATGCGGCACCTACTCCATCTGGAACTTGCCGGTGATCTCGGCTCTTTTTGGAACCTGTTTTTTTTTTTTTCCTCCGGGATCTGTGGTTCCCGCACCCTCCATGTGGTCCTTCTCTTAGACTGAACGCTTCAAAGATGGCGCTGGGGGGCGGGCTGTGGGCGTGACTTCCGGAATCAGAGGTTACCTGGGAGGTGTAGTCCGGCAGATTTGAGAAAAAGTCCTCGTTCCCACATACTCGAGCTGTGTTTGTAGAGGCTTCTGGTCACCGGGGTTCCATTTGGGGGAGGCGGGATGCGGCACCTACTCCATCTGGAACTTGCTGGTCATCTCGGCTCTTTTTGGAACCTTTTTTTTTTTTTTTCGCTCCGGGATCTGTGATTCCCACACCCTCCATGTGGTCCTTCTCTTAGACTGAACGCTTCAAAGATGGCGCTGGGGGGCGGGCTGTGGGCGTGACTTCCGGAATCAGAGGTTACCTGGGAGGTGCATTCCGGCAGATTTGAGAAAAAGTCCTCGTTCCCGCATACTCGAGCTGTGTTTGTAGAGGCTTCTGGTCACCGGGGTTCCATTTGGGGGAGGCGGGATGCGGCACCTACTCCATCTGGAACTTGCCGGTGATCTCGGCTCTTTTTGGAACCTGTTTTTTTTTTTTTTCCTCCGGGATCTGTGGTTCCCGCACCCTCCATGTGGTCCTTCTCTTAGACTGAACGCTTCAAAGATGGCGCTGGGGGGCGGGCTGTGGGCGTGACTTCTGGAATCAGAGGTTACCTGGGAGGTGCATTCCGGCAGATTTGAGAAAAAGTCCTCGTTCCCGCATACTCGAGCTGTGTTTGTAGAGGCTTCTGGTCACCGGGGTTCCATTTGGGGGAGGCGGGATGCGGCACCTTCTCCATCTGGAACTTGCCGGTGATCTCGGCTCTTTTTGGAACCAGTTTTTTTTTTTTCCTCCGGGATCTGTGGTTCCCGCACCCTCCATGTGGTCCTTCTCTTAGACTGAACGCTTCAAAGATGGCGCTGGGGGGCGGGCTGTGGGCCTGACTTCCGGAATCAGAGGTTACCTGGGAGGTGTAGTCCGGCAGATTTGAGAAAAAGTCCTCGTTCCCGCATACTCCAGCTGTGTTTGTAGAGGCTTCTGGTCACTGGGGTTCCATTTGGGGGAGGCAGGATGCGGCACCTACTCCATCTGGAACTTGCCGGTGATCTCGGCTCTTTTTGGAACTTGTTTTTTTTTTTTCCTCCGGGATCTGTGGTTCCCACACCCTCCATGTGGTCCTTCTCTTAGACTGAACGCTTCAAAGATGGCGCTGGGGGGCGGGCTGTGGGCGTGACTTCCGGAATCAGAGGTTACCTTGGAGGTGTAGTCCGGCAGATTTGAGAAAAAGTCCTCGTTCCCGCATACTCGAGCTGTGTTTGTAGAGGCTTCTGGTCACCGGGGTTCCATTTGGGGGAGGCGGGATGTGGCACCTACTCCATCTGGAACTTGCCGGTGATCTCGGCTCTTTTTGGAACCTGTTTTTTTTTTTTTTTCCTCCGGGATCTGTGGTTCCCGCACCCTCCATGTGGTCCTTCTCTTAGACTGAACGCTTCAAAGATGGCGCTGGGGGGCGGGCTGTGGGCATGACT